AGCCGCCGATTACCGTGGTTGTGGTTACACCGCGTCCTTCTTATGTGTGGCTCTCGAACGCTCGACTTGACCGCCAATTGCTGCATGCCCCCCCACCCCCGCATTGTTCTCGTCTGTCCGTCCCTCGTTTACCGTACGGCTTCTGACCCTCACCCCGGAATCAGCCCCTGCGTCCGGCTATCCATTTGCAAACCGCTTAGCTTGTTTGTCGTCTGCTATGTCGATCAGCGGTCATCGGTCATTGGGCACCGGTCGCCGGTCTTGGATCTTTTCGAAACTTGACAGCAGCGATTCCAGCTGTCTCTCGACCTCCGACGACGGCTGCGCTGATTATCACTAACGACTGTTAGCCAATGCTACACACTCTGGTCGTACCGTGCAACGAACTCGTTCTTCAGCCTCTGTAAGTACCTCGCCTTACTTTTGCCTCATGTACACACTTTGACTAATTAATTGTAGTTGTCTTTGATGGCAAAATATTAATAAATGAATTTGCAGCTGCATGGCGACAATCGCTCAGAGTTGTTTGGCAAAATTAATTAACTCTAATGCATTAGTACCCGATAAGAGACTTTCTATAAACTGGAAAAGATTTAGTTTGGCTTCACGGATTTTGCAGTCAACTGATCGGATCACCCGCCATCGATATGACTGAGGTCGTAAGAGCGCAGATGAATGTTTTTCTACTTTTTCTTTATAAAGCATATATAAAGTATAAAGTATATATACTGTAGATCTGATAGTCTAACAGTTTGACAAATCATTAGACGGTTTCCTGGCTAATTGGATGACTTAGTATGTGGTATGTGTAATAGAATAAACATTCATTGTAAATACTAATTTTGACTGAATGGAACTCATGATAGAGATCCAAGTGGTGGTAGTAATTCGATGATCTGTGAAACAGTGGATACATGGTGCCAAAATTTCATACCAGCCATTTTAAAAGTCAATTTGCTCCTTTATTCCAGCTGAAAGTTGACCCCATCGCTTAATGTCAGAAAAAGTGGACGTCATAAGGTAAAAAGTGAGCCGTTAAGGATCAATCAATCAGCACCAAATCATTAACTTGCTGGAAAAAGGGGCCAAAAGTGATCCCATGTAGAACGTGCAGGGAAGACCGGCATTCCAGTAGTTAGAAAATGAAACTTTTCTTACTTTTTCCAAATTGAACAGCTAATGCGGCGTTGAGACCTTGTTACCTTCGATGAATAGTCGTGGAATGATCGTTTTCTGCCACTGGGCATCTACTCAATAACTATTTCGTTGATTAACGCGAGTAATTGATCTCTTCTGACACGCCGTACAGTTTCGACCAACTGACAGATGTATTTTTCTCCTGCGTGATTGATTGCCTTTATTTCTGTCCCCTGAAGCCGTGAACTGCTTCAATGGCCCGTGTTTGCCGTGTAAATCCGGTATCAGTAATTGAAATGCAGTATTCACTGACGGAATTGAAAGGCTTCCATTCTTGGAAGCTGTCCCAGAACACTAAAATTATATATAACCTTGTTTTGCCTGTCTCTTTGCCTACGAAAGACTGCAAATTTCGCTTGTGTTTGAACTTGCTCTTTGGAAGCTCAACTCAAAAGTGCGGCCTTTCATTCGAAGCACCGCAGGTGCTTGCATACCTTGGAGCCTCGTGCTCCGCTTAAGTAATTCCCTTAGGCACCTAGAATCAAAAGAGTAGTGCGTTTCCACCGTGTAAATCAGGTATCAGTAACAGAATTGGATAAATGTAATAATTTCCGGCGGAACGGGAAAAACGTCATTCGTGATAACCACCATGCAATGTCGGGGTATATCTTACATGATCTGTTCCCGTTACCCTGGTCTGATTAGGCTTTTCTTGCTTTGCTTAAGAAATAAAACTGTGTGAGGAAGCAACGTCACATGGTCGTAAAGTTCCATGACGAAGTGGGAGTGAATATAGGCAAATCATTCTGCTGAAGTGCACATGAAGTTATGCGTGTGGCTTTTGTGAGGCGCAGAGAAAACGGCCAGTAGACCTGATTCTTGACTGAGGTCGATCTGTCTGTTCGACAGCAACCACAAAACTTGGCTGTCGAAGCTCCTCTGCTGATTGGTCTTCGCATCGAAGACCCAAGGAAGTTTCTGAAAAGGTCGCCTTGTCCTGGGTACCGTGCCGATGCTATGCCGCTTAGAGTGACAGGAGGCAATGCGCTTCCGCGATAATGTCCCGATAGCGACCTGTCCATGTTTGACACTTGCCTGTCAGCCTGTTAACAACATGTCCGTCCGTTCCACTGGTCCTGTTCTTTCGGCAA